CTCTCGGACACGGACCTCCAAGTGGTCTGCGAAGTGCTCAACGCGCTCTTTGATATCTACAGCGACGAGCAGTACGACGAGGTGTTTTTCCGCCTCAACTTTCTCGCGTCGCTCGAGCACGTGAGCGCGGGCATGAAGGCCAAGATCAAGGCCGAGGCCAAGACGCTGGACCGCGACCTTGTCGGCCACGCGAAGGAGACGCGCCTCAACCTCCTCCGCTTCATCAAGTACAAGAAGCAGCACCGCTAAGACCAATTCCAATGTCATTTTATGTCAGCGCTTTGGCGTCGACCAGCTGCGTCTTTTGGCAGCGGTACCCGAGCCGGATGAGACGCATCGCGGCGCGGTCGCCGTTGTACTCGACCGTCTTGGTCGGCCAGTACGTGACCGCGGCGTCGAACGGCCCGTTGACGTACCACCGAATGCCGGTCGTGCCAAAGACGTCCCCGAGGCAGGTCGGCAGCGTCAAGACCGCGGTCGTCGTGCTGCTCTCGGCCGTCGCTGACGTCATGACGCTGACTTGCGACGTCACGGTCGTGTTGCAAAAGCACTCGACGAGGTACGGGTCGGCGGCGGCAGCGCCCAGCAGAAGCGCAAGCACGACGCTGGCCATGTGCAGTTACTATGGATACAACGCGTTGAACGTGAAACGACGGTGGGTAAACGCGTTAAACGAAGCACCGACAGGTCATTCTGTCGCACGAGACGCGACGTCAAGGACCCCTTGATTTTCTTGCACGAAGGAAGAATGGCACTACGCTTACCATGACCGCACGGCGGCTACGTTGTAGAGGGTAGCTCTGCACTGTAAAAAGCAGACCAGCACCAAGACCGAGCGACCAAGATGACGACCAGCTCGTATTTCGGCAAGTCCACTGCCCCAAACGGCTAGCAACCTGCCTCGCACAAACAAATGACCTGATTTTCAATCTCATGACATTGGATTTTAAACTTTTGGATGCACAAAAACAACACGAATTTTTCACTCAAAGCAAGAGCCAGTCGTCCGAGGCGTCGTCCGTGATGGCGAGCGTCTCCATGGCTTGCACGGGCGGCGCATGGAGCAATGCATCGAGAATGCTTTGGTCCAGCGCACTCAAATCGATGCGCTGCACGGGCTCGGACTTGCCCGCCATCGGTGCGTACGAGATGGACGGCAAGCCAAGGACCGAGAGCATGTGCCCGCCGTCGTCGCAGTCGCGTGCGAGGGCATATACGTGTGCATCGTACGAGCTCTACATCATACTCGTATGAGCGATGCGCGCATCCGTCCATGTCGCTAGTGCACCGGCGGGCGGGACGTGGCCTCGGCTTGGTGCGCGACCAAGACGAGCACGACTTCGTACAAGCGACGTTCGATCGCCACCGTCATGGCCGACGTCTCGCCCTATTAGTACATTCTGCGTGTGTTGCATCCAAAGAGTATGAGCTACGTCGATGGCTTTATGGATGTCGACGCCAGCGCCGCGCTCGAGCAAAAGGACGACGTGGGCGAGGACCGTGTCGGCGTCGAGAACGCACGAGATGCAGTAGAGGAGGACGCTGTGGCTACGACCCTGCTCAACCATGTCAGCGTCTCGACGCCACAACGAGATAAAGTATGTACACTGGCGACGGCGCTGGCCCCGGCCTCGAGCAGCTGCAGCGCAATTTCGGGCTCGTTGCAGTCGTACGCGACCGAGAGGGGAGATACCATTCCCTATTAGACAGACATAGTATGAGCCAGTGTCGATCGTAGAGTATCGCATTAGGTTGTACCGCCTTCCATGCAAAGAGCGCATTGAGGTCGTCGTCCGCGCGCATGTGCTGCAGAAAGCATTGGATGATGTCGGGCGCTCCGCGCGCGATGGCTAGCAGCAGCGCGTTTCCGCCATCTTCCTACACCAGGCATTCTCGATCCGCGCAGCTTGTATGCAACGGGTGTACCGAGAGCGCACGCACGCCGCGTGCGAGGAGGAAGCGAAGCATGTCCATATCGCCCGCTTCCATCGCACGATACAACACGGAGTGGCTGGTAGTGAGAAGGAACCCCACGCGCGCTGCGTCCATTGCTTCAAAGGACGCGCCGTGGGCAAGGAGCACGTCGATGATGGGAAAGTACCGCTTCTGCACGGCCAAGTGCAGTGCGACGCCACCGGTTGCCGGCTACAAGTAGCGGTAAGAGATCTAGCTAACGGAACGGAGTGGGTTGGCGTACGGTGAGAGCGCCGCGGTGCAGCGCGTCCATGACACCAATCGTCAAGCCCTTCTCAATGGCATCGTAGAGCAGGTCCTGCGGCACCGACGCAGACACCGTAAACGTCATGCGGTGGTGCAGTAGCGGCGCGTCGCCTTCGAAGAAAAAGACATCGCAAGGACGCGGCAAGGTCGGGGCGCATGGCAGCGATGCCAAAGCGACGCGCCACGAGTACTCGATGCCCGGCTGGAACGGACCGTGCAGCGTGTGGTCGACGTGTGCTACGCTGCTTGACGCTTCGTCGTAGAGACAGTGCACGAGACGCAGCGACGAGATAGGGCGGCTCGTGCGAAAATGGTAGGTGCCGATGCACCCGTCTTGGCTCACTGGGCACGCGACGTGCAGGTGGCCGTACGCGTCGTCCAAGCACTGCGAGAGCGACTGGTTGCAGGCCGCGCAGCCAATCTACAGTAGTGATATGTGTTCTTATTTGACCTACGCGCAGTGGGCGAGGAGCCTTTACGGTGGCAAACGGTGCGTCACTCCACGGCAATGTCAAGTGCAAACTCGTCAAGGCCATCGCCGGGTCGTTCCATGGCGCAGCGTGCCCTACACCAGTTGTCGAACAACTGTGGATGACGAGACTGGACGGACCAACAAGAGGCCGCTCGAGTGCGAGGGCGTGGCTGACTGTGAATGACATGGCTCGACGGGTAGCCGTTAAAATGGATTGTGAGATTGGATTTGGAGCGCTGATCTGCATCTTGTGTTGCCAGATCTCGCCATGAAGTACAAGTGCATATGACGTTGTTGTATGGCAGCACTAAAACCACTCAACCTTTTGCCTCGCCACAGAATGATTGCGCTAACGTGCAGCTTCACGTGACCAAAATTTGGTCATCGGGCAATCGCCACTTTACCTTATTTCATTTAATGCCGTAAGCCAACTAACCTCTGATATGCAAGAAGATTATGTGGAAGGTTCCTACGTTTCGACAAGACCTACCATAAGGGTTCCATCCTCGTCTCTGAGGCTCAGTGACGAGGAAGGAACCCAGTGACTGAGGTCACTAGCCTTCCTTGCCATCGACAGTCACTGCAGCGTTCGATTCTGCCTCATCTGGCAATGACAACCAACGACATCTCACAGGGCATAATGGTATCCACTACCATGCGAGTTGATGCCTGCCGCGACTTGATAAAAGGAATCCGCACTAAGATCTCAAATGACTATCATTCTATTCCGACTCGACACGGATTGGTCCAATCTAAATCGCAGCCTTGCGATTGGTCCATCACGTTGCACGTTCACCAACCCACCCACAATCCAAGATGCTTTCTCCGGACGACGCCCGAGCGCGCACATCGCCGCTGCCCGACGGTGCGACGTGCGTAGGCGGATGCGAGCCCCACGTCCCTCGTAGGCACAGAGCTACTTGCGTCGCCCGGCCTCCGCTTCGACGCCTTTGCCATCACGGACGTTGGAAAGTGCAAGACCTTTTTCAAGGTAAATGGCCGAATCTATTACTCGCTGGCCATTTTATGGGCGCAAAATAGACGGGCTGCGCCGTGTGCGCGGAGGCCTCGCTCTCGCTCACGCTGCACGAGACGTCGGGGCGCATCCAATGCCTGCTTCCCGACGCCTTTTGGACCAGCCACGATTTCATGTACCTCGTCGACTTTACGAGCGACGCTGCGCGTACCAATGTACACTTCGTGCAGTGCATCTACCTCGGCGACCACTGCATCGTTGAGTCGTTTTCGTTCGGCGCGATCGAGCCCAATGTCGCGTACCGTTGGGAGGTGGAGTGGATGAACCCCTTCTACTGTGCGACCAACACACGAGACTTGCCGAGCGACGTCTTTTACTTTGACGAAAACACGCTGCTCGCGCACCACCGTCTGTCGTTTGCGTCAATGTCCAAGGTCGACGGCGACCGTACAACCCAGTTCTTTAGCGCGTTGGGGGCCGGGGCGCTTCCGTCGATTCGCACGGCGTTGCACAACCTCGCCTATGTCCCACCTCTCTACAAGGTCCCCACTTCGTACTACGCGATACGGACGCTCACGCCGCGTCTGGCAACCTATAGCACAGCTCGGACGACCTCTTTGACTTGATTGATCGCGGCGCGTTCGACGTCGTTCGGCTTCTCGTCGACCACGGTGCCACGCTCTCGGGGGTGACACTAAATTCGCATCCGACCGGTTTCTTAACGAGCGCGGTATGGTAGACGTGTAGTGACCGGCTCCTCGCCCGCGCCCTCGATCGAAGTGACGTCGAGATGCTGAGTTACGCACTCGAATATGGCGCAAACGTCCAGTCGACCATCTTTGTACGATGCTAAAAAAGCGGCCAACTGAGACTCCATTTCTCGGTGTAGGGACAAACGCTGCTCCAGCGTATGGTGTTGACTGGCAATGAGGCCATGGTCGAGGCGCTCGTGAACGCGGGGGCATACCTCGGCAATCCCTGCGATCTCCATGACAGCAACCGCCGTAATTGCTCCCAGCGCTGCGAGGTATGAGGTCACATCCTAGCATGAGATTTGTGGTGCGTATCCTCTGGATGGATAGGCCGCCGAAGCGCCCTTGGTCGCAGCGTATACGAGCAACCAGCCTTGCATGGCGCAGCTCCTCCTGGACCTCCACGCACCGATCGACGTGGTCCAGAAAGCCGTGCGTCTTGTGGCATCACGCTCTCGTTCACTGACAGCAACACGATGTAGGCCCCTCGCAACGTCCTCCTGGCGCTCTGTCTACTGCATCTGACGGACAAGTGCGCGCGCCGGTGGCACATCCTGCAGCTCCTCGAGCGAGGCGCCGCCACCACCATCCGCAAGCCGAACCAGGTACCATAACCCTAACCTCACTTTGATGTATACCCTTGGATGTAAAAGGGCGGGATGACACCGTATGCGCTGGCCACGTCAATGGATGAAGCCATGATTCTCGAGAGCTTTGACTTTTACACGAAAGCGACCTCCGACACACCGGTAGCACCCCTGTTGTATGCCATCCAAGTGGCCCACGAGACGCGTGTAGCCAGACGACGACGACGCTGCGGATCTGTGCTGGCAGAGTCTCGCGACGGCCTGGCGTCTGCAAACGAGCACTTCATTGGAGCGATCGCCGCAAGGCAGCGGCTCCTCCGTCTACGAGTACGACTCGGACGTGCCCAGCGGCGAGAGCGACGACGACTGGACGCTTGTCGACGACTACGTGGACACCGTCAACTAGACTAGATGACGCTATTCCCAACGGAACACCCACGAATCGGCCATATTAGCCTGATCAGACTGCATTCCGTCCGCTCTGCAAAGTTAACACCCAGACCCCGATCCACCGTGGTCGCGCGTAGCTTGGACGCTGCTTACCGACACTCCAGGCCTAACGCTGCACATACTAGTACGTCGTCCATCGTCGGCGCCAGCACTCCTTGACCCTCCCAGCGCTGGCGCTTCTCCTGCTGCGCTTCCAGCCCGCACTCTTCCATCCACGCCCCTCCCATCGGCCTGCGCATCTCTCGTTCATGCGTCGAGCGTTCTCTTCCGCGCTGCGTTTTTCGCTCCCGCACTAAGAGGCCTGGTGCGCGCTGTCAGCCAATCCATAGCGATAACGATAGCTATAGCTGCAACTCGCATTGGAGCACATCGTTTGGCAACTACCCGTTGAATGGTGGGACTATAACACACGTGTGCCTGTTATATCGAAGAAAGAGAAGAGAAGGAGGAAGTTCGATATGACGTGGCGATCTTGTGCAAGCGGTACTGTGCAATCGGTGCTGTGCGCACGGCAATTGTGCAACATGGCATTCAGCTCTTGTTTTCATGCTGGTTTTGTATACCTCTGTGGTACCTCATATCCTTACATGGACATTGAACTAGAGCGTTTACTCCGTCGAACATCAATCCACCAATGTGGGCTTGCGCAATGATGCTGCTACCGGGGTGCCTTTCTCGATAGTAGTGCCTTGTGTACGACCTGATATGGCGGCTCGTAGAGTCTTTAGATACCACAGCCCTACAGTAGTGTATAGATCGTGACGACTTTCTCGAGCATCATGTACTGCTTAATGTGCGTATTTTTCATGAGGATCGCGAGACCGTAGCTCGGGTTGATGCGTGTGGCAAGGCTGACATCAACCCGTGGAATCGATTAAGGCACCGACCACTGAGGAACAACAATGTACTAGTACCACTGAAGAACAACAATGCACTGTCCGCCATGCCATAATGGGTCGCGGCTTCGCTTCCTCTGAGCGGCAATAAAGCAAGCTCACTCGCGCTCCATGTCGCCAAGCGCCAGTGTGCAGAAGCGCCAAAACGCTTGCGCGAAGATCGCGATCTGACAGCTTCGAACTTCGTGTTAATGAATTATTTCTTTTCGACCAATGCGGGTGTTGCTTTTAACCAAAATCAGCCAATGCGGATGCCCCAAGGCAGTGTTCAAAGATTTTAGACCAATGCGCGTGCGGGATTTTTCCCACCATCAAATTAGAGCTTTCCCATCGTGGCGACATCGACGAAGCACACCGCTAAAATACGAGGAAATGTGATTATAAAGCGGTTCGCTATAGCTATGGCGGTGGCGCGTTATAACCACCGTCGGCAAGGTCGAGACTGCTCGTCCCGCAAAGCCTGTTCGTCCCGCCGAGCCTGCTCGTCCCGCCGCGCAGAACGCCTCATTATTTTCTCGAAAATGGCCCCTGCCTCCCGAGGTCGCCGGTTCGAACCCGACGCGCCGATTTTTCTATCCCCATTCGGACACGAATGTCACTGAAGTTGGTCACCATAATGAGGCTACCGGTACGCTCGGCAAGTGCCACAAGGAACACATGGATGAAGCAACATGAAAACGGCATATGCCGAAAACTCGGGCGTACCGGAAATTAGGACGACCCTAGATAGGAGCCGTAAAAACCGAGTATACTCATTCCAACAATAACAGCGATAGAAGGGCAACTGTCGAAGGACATGCCGATAAACGATGGGACGATGGGACGTCCTACGAAACTACCCCGGTAGATCTTCTCTTCTTCTCTCCTTCGGTTTTATTAGGCACGTTTGTTAGGTCCCCACAATCTATGCGGTAGTTGTCGAAAGGGCTCACTCCAACTTTGGTAGCCTGGTTTCCACCTGCCTTGCACGATTGTACGCTTCCTTGTGCCGTGTCTTGCCGAACGCCTCTCCAAGTGCCTTTACAAGTCTCTAAGAAATGAGCCGCGTCCAGCCCGCAGGTCCGTGGCAGTACGATCTCGACGCTGCATCTCGTCTCTGGTCGCAACGAAAGGTGGCTATCGCAGGACTCGTTTACCTCTGGTCGGCCATGGCCATTGGCGCCTACTACCTCGTTCTCCTCTCGCGCAGCTTTGCCAACGACCTCTGGTGGCCGAGCTTCAACACAACGGGGTACCAGCTCTTTCTCGTCGATGCCATCAACCATGCCTTGGAGCAGCGTCTCTCGGGTGTCGTGGACCTCACGCAGCTGGTCATGCCCAAGTCCTATGGCGCAACGCAGCTGCCAGTGCCCCACCCGACCCGCGCGCGGGCTCTCTTACTTACTGAGCTCACATCCATCGAGTATGCGATCCTGAACATTCGCAACATGAGCGCTGATCAATCCATGATGCTACCCACGCTCTTCTGCTATGTGGACTTTGGTCAGCGCTGGGAGCTCGCCCACACAGTCGCTCGCCAGACACGGTGCAAGGAGCGATACCACTTCAACGGCGCCATCTATCTGGACGTAATTCTTCGCAATGTGCAGTGGGCTAGTCTCATGGATGCCTACGGCGATTGGCTCGATCCAGCAGTCTTTGCTGCCGTGAACGCATCAGGCAGCCACGGTCAAGAATGGCTCACCGCGACAGCAAGTGTCAACCTCTCTCTTGTCGACGAAGCTACGCATTGGCGGTCGTATGGCGTGACGCGGTTTGAGTTGCAGTGGCAAAACTATGTCTTCACAGGCCTTCAGTCGACCATGACAGTCGTCAACGCACTCGGAATGGCGACAACCATCGAAGTACAACGATCCACCTTCGCACATGGGTCCTGGACCTCCAGCATTTTCAACGTTTGTTCATCAACGAGATCTATATCGCCGCCATCCTATGTGGCCAGAGCCTCGTGCGTCATTCAACCAACTACATTATGGAGGCGCAGTGCATCTACGCTACGACACCTGGCTTTGAAGGATTCGTCGGCCTTAGTGACGATCGCGGCCGCTTTGTCCAACAAACGGGACTCGTGCGCGACGCCATCGGACCGTTTTTGTCCGTCGACCTGTTCGTCTTGCCCCCGCCTACTGCATTGTTGAATGCTATCACAAGCTTTCAACGCGTGCTTTACCAAGCGGTGCAAGCCAACGCCACAGCCGCTCGCGAATATGAACAGCTCCCAGCACTCTCGGCGCGACCACTACCAGCGACGTGGGATGCGGACGAGTACCTCTATTACGGTGGCAACCCCATGTGCTTGAGCGGAATCGGGCGCACCTACGTGCAGTCTGCCTTTACGTTTGGCGACGCATGCAGTCAGCCATCGTCGGCAACCATGGTAGCCCAGCCATCCGCCCTTCTCTTTGCTCTGAGCTTGAGCGGACCCAGCGTATCACCGACGGATATCTGCATCTCCGTGGTCTCAGCCAGCGACGATTGCATTCGTCAAGTGACCAAAGCCATCGACCTCACAACGTCTCTGAGCTTGACCAACGAGACGCTCTCATCCGCACTGACCGCTGAGATCAGCGACATGCAAGTGAGTCTCATGCAGTTTGCCTCGGATCAGAACGGCTCCGAGTGGACACTGCTCACAGCACCCATCTTGCACGACGGCCATCCGCTTGGCTGGGTCTACGCCTACGAGTGGGCCACCGGTGTGCGGGAAGTCGTCTCGTTTGAAGGCGACAATGACACGCTTGTGCTGATCTCCGACGCCTATCAGAGCATTGGGACCCAAGACCCGAACACGGCGCCGCTGAGCCAAGCGTCCACAATCGTCTTCTACATGCTGCTCTACTCGTCCGTGGTCTTGGTCGTGATTGCTGTAGCGTGCACAGTGCTGGCTGTACGCTCCCGCTTGGCGTTTGCGGGTCAGAACTTGTTTGTGTTTCATCGCGTGGCTGCGTCGACGTGGCTCGGGCGACCGCTGATGTTTCTTCGTGGCGCCTGCGCGCTGTTGCTTCTTAGCACCGCCCCCGTGACACTGACGCAAACCAATGGGATCTCGGCGCTTGCAAGCTCGGGCCGTCCGTTCTATGCAACAATCGTGCTGGCAGGCGAAGCCAACTGGATCATGTACGTCATGTACGAGTGCCAGCTCGTGTTTCATCCCGATGGCTCGATGGGTGCGGCGGCCGTCGTCTGGTGCATCTACAGCCTTCTTGATGTGCTTGCACCGGTCACCATAGCCGCCACGCTAGAGCGCAATTGCTACAGCACCGAGTACTTCTACACGCTGATGTGCACGAATGGCTCCATCTCAATTGGCAGCTCGCAGCGTCTCTACGTTCTGCTCGGTATCCAAGGCGCTAGCCTTCTTATCGCGATCTGCTGGCGACATCATCGCACACGAGTCGACTGTCGACGCCCGATCACCGTTCTTTTCTCTGGTGTCGCGAACGCACTGCTCCATCACGAGCTCGATGACATCGGCTACGTCCTTACGGGCTGATTCCGCTGCAGCACGGTCGCGTCTTCTTTGACGTCAAGCTTTGGGTTGCAGTGCATGTGGCTCAAGCGCCTGTAGCATCGGCCATCGTTGCAGCTGAGCCAGTGCGCAAGCCATCGATGTCGTGGTGTGGGCGTCTTGCTGCTGTCGCTGGCTTCGTCTATGTTCTGGCTGCTGTCAGTAGCAGCTACTCGTACTTGCAGATCGCCAAGAGCACCCTAGTCAACGACCTCATCTGGCCCGGCTTCAACCTCTCGAGCACTCACGTCTTTTTGACGAGCTTCTTTTGGGGTCGCATCGCCATGAGCCATACGGACAACGACTTCAAGCTCACTGATCCTTCTATCAACGCGGTCGCTTCAACAGACGCATCGTTCACGAGTTCACCAGCCCACTTTGGTGCTCGCATGCAATACTCGACTCTGACTACGCTCGTTGATGCTGTGCAAGGTCTACGAGCCACCGATGCTTGTGACGCACCCTGGATCTTCACACCGTACTGCTACCTTGACTTTGATGGCATCTGGGACATGGCTGTCACCGCCAAGCGCCAAGCTCGCTGTCGTCGCACCATGGCAACTAACGCTGCCGTGTACCTCGAGTCGCTGCTTCGCAACGTCGAGTGGGACGACTGGGTCGCATGCTGGGGCCCTTCGTTCGACTCTGCCTTTGGCAACGATCTCTCAACGACGCGCCAAGGACAAGTGTTCCTCGCCTCAGTGAGCCAACCACGCGTCTCTGTCGCAGACGAAGTCGCCTACTGGCAGCGCTACGGCCTCCAGTCGTACGAGCTGCAGTGGCAAAACTTCAAAATCATCGGACTTGACAACACATACAGCATCGTCAATGCGCTCGGTCTCACATACCCGTTCACGCTCCAGCGCAGCCAGGGCCAGTTTCGGCTCGAGTTTCAGACCACATACAAGCTCTACTGGTCGCTCGCTAACGACCTGGCCAACCTGCAAAACCAGACGAGTTTGCTGCGGTCGTCTCCTGTCTTTGCATACGCCAACACATCGTTGGAAGATGTCTACTTGGCGAACGCCACCTTTCTGACGGCGCCGCTGCCAGCAGGGTACGCAGTCGTCGGTGCAGCGCTGGGTCCGTTTGGTGCGATTGATGCCAAGTACGTCGAAGTGCCGCCGGTCGTCCGCGCCGTAGCTCGGGACATCATGTCGGCTGTCGCGACGCACCGTGCAAGCTCCGTGAGCTTGCAAACCGCCTACGCAAGACTGCCAGTAAGCTTTTTGAAAATGCTCGTTCCAGCGCCTTGGTTACAGCTCGATTTCTATACCATGGGGGGTTCCCTTCTCTGCCCAAACTTATATTCGAGTTCGAGTCCGATCGCGGCGGGCCTCTTACGTCTTTTCCTCTTTGAGAGCAAATGCACGGGTGGCGCGATCTTCTCGACGTTTTCTTCGACGCTGGATGGCTGGGTATTTGCGGCTCTTCTATCAAACACTAGCACCATTGACGACCACTGCCTGCAAGTGCCGAGTGCAGTCGCCGAGTGCGAGGCCACTCTAACGGCCGTCACGCAATGGACGTCGACGATGGCGCCACTCCACATACCGTCGCAGTCGGTGGCTATGGACGCGCTTGTGGCGCTCAACATCTCCCTCATGCAGTACGGATATCTCGACGCAACATCCCCTCTCGCACTCTTCACGACGCCGATTCTGGACGAGAATTTCGTCTTTTTTGGCTCGATGTTTGTGCTAGAGTGGCTCCGCGGCGAGCGAGATGTCGTTACATTTACAGGCGACAACGGATCGCTCACACTGCTCTCGGACCTCGTCATCGAAGCGGTCGAGCCGGTCGAAGCCGCCGAGCTCTCTTCGACGTTTGCTCTCTACGCTCATGCCACCGTGCAGTACATCACCTACGTTATGGCAGGTCTCGCTGCCGTTGCAGGTGTTTACATTGTCGTCAGCCGCGGCCGCATCGAAGGACTCAACATGCTCGAGCTCAGTCGCGTCGGCGGCATCGTCTGGGTGGGTCGCCCGCTCTTGGTCGTACGGAGTGTTTCTGCGCTCTGTCTCTTGTCGACGGCGACGTCGCTGTCGCTACACTATCCAAGCCCGCACCTGGTGTCGTTTGCGACCGAGGCCTCGTCAGCGCTGACAACGTGCTTGGCAGCTAGCGAGGTCACGTGGCTCGTTGGTATTCTCAACGACATTTTCCTCGTGACGACGCGCGAGCACTCGACTCGCTACACCACCATCAACAGTGTGCTTGTGTGGGCAATGGCAGCGTGTCTAACAACCCTCCGACCCGTTCATCACAAGGCCAATATGGACTTTCGTTGCGTCCCCACGGCACTGGACCTCCAAGTCACGTGCTCGACCGGCACCATCGCGATCGGGTTTCAGGATCGCGTCCTGCTCTTGATCCTCATCATTGTCGTCTGCAACGGAGCTGCTACGGCCTCGTGCGGAGCCTGTGGCCCGTGTCGGCGTCCGTCCGCCGCAGTGAGTCGCTCCTGCTCACGGCCGGCGCCAAGTTTCTCTTTTCGCACGACGGCTGGCTGCTCGGCGATGTCTACTACATGGATCGCGCGTCGGCGCTGCTGAGCGGCCTCGTGACGGTCTCATGGCGCGGCTCTCTACTGGTCTTTGACGTCAAAACGTGGCGGCTCCAGCCAATGTATACAAAGAAGCTGGCCGCCGAGCTCGTGCTTTCTCCTCGGCTCGCAACGGCACTACCGCTTCCCGACACGCCGATCGAGGACCTTGTATGAGACTTGTCCTTTCATCAAAATTGATCAGCAGTTGATGGGACTGACTCCATATGAGCGAACGCCAGGCCATTGAATCCGTGGGTCCCCCAAAACCAGCTATTTGACAATGAGATCCATGCTAATCGAGCCACATCGAGCTATTATGCCCTTCCTTTCTTCTTTTCGCACCGAGACTCGAATCCAGAGCAGCAAAACCGAAATGGGCGTGGTAAGGACTATTCTAGTATAGGACAGGGAATCTGACGTCCGTCGACAACCAACGCAAGGGCAAATTCTCTCTCCTAGTTTGTACGTGTTTTTATCGATGAAATGGTCTTAATTGATGTGGATGCGCTGGATCTCGCGGCCCACCTTGGCCATGGGCGTCCGGCTGTGCAGCTGCACAAAGTTGTCGGAGAGCACGAAGTCGCCTTTTCGCCACTGGTGGGAGTAGCAAAACGTGGCGTCGTAGAGCAGCGGCACCAGAGTCTCAAAGCACCACGCTTGCTCGGTTGCGTACTCGTCCTCGGAGCCTCCGTCCTTTTTCTGGATCGTGATCGTCGTCGGCTGGTACTCGGTGCGATCGGCCCCCCACGGTTCATGGAAGCGCAAGATCTCCTCGCCCGTCACGGGGTGGCGGCTCACAATGTCTGCGTAGTGGGTGAGGCTGGCCGACCCGTACATGGCGTTGGCAGCGGTCTGCGCCGTCATGCGCAAGCCTCGCAGTCGATCGACGTCATTGGCGGGCAGCGCGGCGAGGAGTCGACGCGAGTCGACAAAGAGCGTGCGTCCGTTCGTGTCGTCGTCCGGGTCGGGGT